GTTTGACAGCAATTCTGGCCTTGGCTTCTGTCTTGCTGCAAGGACTGGTTCCTCCTTTCTGGTGCCTTGGTTAAGTCACCTGCAGGTTCTGAGCCAACCTGAGCCATGGGATCATGGTAAGCCTGGCTCAAGTTTATCCTTCTTTATGCCAGAGTAGTACTCTGTTGTGCATAAATACCACACTTTTTAAATTGTTTTTTGGTTTTTCGAGACAGGGTCCCACTGTGTAGTCCAGGCTAGCCTTGAACTCACTCTGTAGCCCAGGCTGGCCTCAAACTTGCAGCAAACTCATGACTTTGGGACCCTGTGCTTAGAAGCTGCATGGGCTGAGAGAATGACATCATCAATCAATTCGATGGTTGGTGCGGGTCATGTTCCCGGTGTTGGGCATCTACCGAAAGGGGGCCAGATCCTGTCATGATCTCCGGAAGAGATCGAAGGAGAGGGAACTGGAGACACCAAGGGGTGGGAGGGAGGGAGATGGGAAGGGGGAATTCTTCAGCCCATGACTTTCCCCTGGGGGATGTGTATTTGTGTCCAGAAGTGTTGGACTGAAGTAGTAGACAAGATGAGCCAACAGAGTGGGGAGCTAGGACATGTCAGGGGATTTCCACTTAACAGATCCACCCAGGCCAGAGAGAGGGCAAGATGGCCCGGTGCTTCGTGGGATGTGGAAAACATACTTTTGCTAAAAAGTTGCTTGGGGCAGCACAGGTCTATCATCGGGGCACTCTGGGAGACGGGGGCAGCAGGATTGCAAATTCAAGCTCAGTCCAGGTGACTTGGTGAGGCCCTGCTTCAAAATAAAAAGGAGAGGCTAGGGATGTAGCTCAGTACAAAGACCCTGGGTTCAACTGTAGCAAACAAATGACAACAACAAAAAAGTACAATCAGCCCTCTGCATTTGTGGTTTTTGTGGATTCAACCAACCACAGATAGAAAATATACAGGAGAAATAATAGCACCTGTATCGCACATGTAAAAGGTTTTATTCTTGTTAGTATTCCTTAAGCAATACAATGTAACAACTAAGTACATAACATTTACATTGTAGTGGGTATTATAAAGTCTAAGGAAAAATGTGTGTAGGTTCTATGCAAATACCTGTGCCATTTTATTTCTTTCCGTTTTTTATTAGAACATGTTTGTAGTGTATGGTGTTCACACTACTGGTGAGGAGTTGGTCGATGTGCATAACGGATTTTAATTTCCTTTTTCATCTTCTTCCCCTCCCCCCCCATCTTGTGATTCCCTTCCCATTTGCCAAAGATCTGTCTTCCTATTTCCTATTGTGTATTTTTTATTTTGCTCTTTATTTATAATTTTGGTTTCTCATATAAAAGAAACCATGCAATTTTTTTTTTTGAGACAGGTTCTCACTATTCAGGCTGGCCTTGAACTCACTATGTACCTCAGGCTGGCCTCAAACTCACAGCAATTCTCCTGCCTCAACCTCCCTAGTGCTGGGATTACAGGCATGTGCCACCACACCTGGTATGAAACCATGCAATATTTAAGCTTGTGTGCCTGATTTTTTTTCATTTAATATTATGGTCTCAAGCTGCATCCATTTTCCTATAAATGACTCAGGTTTATCCTTCTGTAGGACAGAGTAGTACTCCATTGTGTGTGAATACCACACTTTCTTTACCTACTCATCTGCTGGTGGACACACAGGCCGATTTGGGTATCTGTTGGGGTCCTGGGACCATTCGCCCAAGGTACTGAAAGATGATTGTACTTGTGATTTACCTGAAATTCAGATTTAACCAGAAATCCTGTTTTGTCTGGCATCCCTAACTGGAAACCCTGAGGAGAAGGAGGTGGGAATGATTTCAGGGTAAGCACACGGACTCTGCACTGCCTGGGTTTGGTCGCCTCCTGAAAACACCACTCTTTCCAAAACAGAGGTGCAGCTGGGCCTGGGATCCACGGGCACCTCTGCTGCCTGCTCCCCCAGTTCCAGGACGAGACTGGGTGCCACTACACTGCTTTCCTGGAATTTCTCTCCAGAACCACAGGTCATCCCCTTCTCCCAGCCCATTACTCATTAACTTGCAGGTAGCCTTGACCTGCGAATGGCTCAGTAGCCCAGTGACAATGGTCTCCCCTACCACTCACTTGTGTTCACGCACACTGTGGGCACTGGGGACCCCTGCTCTCAGAGGATACAGACAGGAGTTTGGATTCCAGATCTGCAGGGTCCCCTGGGCCACCTGGCCCCTTGTCCCAGCCTCTGTTCCTTCTCCAAACTGCAGATCCACAGCCACAGAAGCTCCTTTCTAGTCAGGGTGAGAATCCAGCCATACCAGGCAAACAGAACAGGTGGCTGCCTGACCCGCACACACTGAGCACTTCATTTTTGTATTTTTTTGGACATCTGCTGCTTCTCCCCCTTTGCCTGACTTTGACGATGGCCCTGCCCCCCCCCCCAATCCTCCTGTCTTGTTCCTGGACCCAGAAGCTCACCAAGCCCCTTCCTGGAGTCTTGCTCCCAGCACCTCTTTCCTCCTCTCCCCTCTCCCAGCTACTCAGGAGGCTGAGATAGGAGGATCACTTGAGCCAGCCTGGACAATACAGTGAGACCTTTTTAAAAGAAAAATTCCAGAAATAAATCATTTTTAAGTCTTAAATTGTGCACTATTCTGAGTGGTGTGATAAAATCTCCCAATATCCCACTCCAATCCTCCTTGGGCCTGAATCATTCCTTTGTCCAGTGTATCCGTCTTGTAAATGCTACCCTCTCATTAGTCATTTAGCAGCCGTCTTGTTTATCAGATTGACTATTGAGGAATCAGTGATCTTGAGTCCACATACCCCTTATTTTATGCAATAATGGCCCCAACCCACAGAAATAGTGATTCTGGGAACTTGAATGCGCAGAAGTGCTTCCTGTAAGTTAAAAGGTGAAAGGGCAATAAGATATTTTGAGGGAACTTTTATTACAGTATATTATCAGAATTGTTCTATTTTATTTTTATTGGTACATGTTTGCAGTATGTGATGATTACATTCATCATAGGGAGTTGGGTCTATGGACATAACACATCTTATAATGGTCATTTTATGATTAGGCATTGTTGATAACCGTTAGCTGTGCCCAATTTGTAAGTGACACTTTGTCAGAGGCATGCATGTGTAGGAAAGGACACTGTGTCTATAGGGCTGGGTAGGTGCTTGGCTTCAGGCATCCATTGGGAGTCCTGGACTGTATCCCCATAGATAAAAGGGACCCCTGAATAAGACATGCGTACGTGCTAATGACAGCAAACACTGGCAGCATCTTGATGATTTCTTGAATTCAACTTGTTTACCCCATAGGCTGGAGGACATAGCACAGTCCCCACTGTACAGGGGAGGGACACTTTATACGGTGTCCCCACTGTACACTTTTTTTTTTTGTACACTGTCTTTGTAGGTCACTTGCCTACAATTCTGCAGCTGGTAAGAACTGGGATTTGGACTCAGGCTCCAGTTTGTCCCAAGCATTGCAATAAATCCTTTGCAAACTTGGTGGCTAAAAACAACACATATTTACGCAGATGTGGTGGCACACATCTAATTCTAGCATTTGGAAGGCTGAGGCATGAGGAGCACCCGGATAATGCAGGATAATCTCCATCTCGAGGTCCTTCACTTAATTTCATCCTCAAAGTCTCTTTCACCACAGCAGGCCTTGGGGATCAGGGTGTGCACAACTTTGGGGACGGGGAGACCATGATTCTGCCTACTGCAACATACACAAGGAGAGAAACCTAGCTCTTCGCGCTCAGGAGGGCTTCTGCCAGCTCCTCACGCCCTCAGGCTGTCTCCAGCCCCTTGCAAGATAGTCCAGGCTTCTGCCTCCTTTGCACGCCTCCCACAGCATGCAGTGCCTCTCCACTTCCTTCTCCATCTGGCTGGGCTGTTTATTCACGTAGGCCCCAGCTGTATTTGCTTCTGTTTACAGGAAGACTTCACCCATCCCTGGATCTTATCCCACAACTGTGCCCCTTCCAAGGACTGTTTTTCAAAGGGGTCCTCAGTGCCCTAGAAGAGAGGAGAGGGATCTTGAGCATCCATCCCTAAGGGAGTGGTTCCCAATCTCTGGTCACACTTCTGGCACTGTGTACAGTCACTGACATCCACTGTCACAGGGACAACTCAACCAACTTGAGGCCCTGTTTTACGTGCCAGGAAACAGAGAGGTTGAGCCAGTGGCCCAGGTCACACAGTAATAGGCAGCCAGGTGGGAGAGGTTTGGTCCCAGGGAATCTAGTTGCAGAGGGGCAATGCATGTAGTACTGAAGTGTCTGGCTTTCAGCCTGGAATCTCTCGGTAACCCATGAGCTGTGATTGAACAAGTTACTTAGCTTCTCTGTGGCTCACAGGCTAACGTATCCCTAGGAACCTTATATAGGGTGTGGCATACAGCAATCGCTATAGTGTTAGCTACTATTTTTACCCTGCAGTCTCGGCCAACTGTGGATCTTTACATTGCAATTTTATTTTTCCTGGTACTGAAGGCCTTTACTTGGAGCAACATCCCTAGCCCTGTTTTATTTTTCACGGTGAGACAGGGTCTTGCTAACTCGCTAAGTTGCCCGAGCTGGGCTAAACTTTCTATCCTCCTGCCTTAGCCTCCAAGCGCTGGGATGACAGGTGTGCTGTTCTCTCCCCTGGGCGTGCATTTGTTCCCCAAGTCTCTTCACCTTCTCGGGTCAGGGCCCTGTGTAGACCCCGTCACAGGTGTGGAGGTACAATGACAGCATTGCCTGTCACAGAGCTCTCCCTGACCCCTACCCCCAAGGACTGTGAGCCCCTGGAGGCCTGGGACGAAGGCCTGCTCACTGCTGTCCCCAGTCCCTGGCATAGGGCCTGGCAGGCACTAGTTGCTCAACAAGTATTTATTGAATGTGTAATGCATGGACGATGGATGCCCCACCCATGAATACAGATTTCTAGACTGCAAACACAACATCCACCTTGGACCTCAACCCCAGAAAGGCAAGAAACCCGGATAGCAAAAACAGATTGGTCATTATTGTACAGAAGTGTGGGGTGGTCCTGCAGCTAGGACGGGGCTGCCCAGGCCTTGGGGCTACAAGTGTCTTCTGAATGGACTCCTTGTGGGAAGGCAGGCGGCTCATCCCTACAGGGTCCTGCCTCCCCCACTCGCTCTGGGCTGGTGAAGGAGACAGGAGGACAGGACGGCTGGGCTTAGAAGTGGAGACAATCACAACTGCTCTCGTCCGCTTGCTGTTTTGTTGACTTTGGAGAGGCCTTCCCGGAACCCAGAGTCCGTCATCCTGCGGGGGCAGACACACAGCAAGAGGTGTCCAGGAGGTGGAGGGGAGCAGGCCCCGCCCCGCCCCGCCCCAGCAGCCGCGGGCTGGCCCAAGCCCTCCATCGGCCCTGACCCTGCCCCCAGATCAGCCCAGTCCCACAGCACACCCTCTAGCCTTTTCCTCCTAAATGTTAGCTACTCCAGAACCAGCAACAACAGTCCCTGCCCACCCTGACTCTCCAGCTGTCAGTCCAGTCCCACTTCAACCGGGCCCCATCCTGCTCAGCCCCGCCCTAGCCAGCCTTGGTCCCCCCCCATCCCACTCAGTCCCGCCCCTGAGCTGGGCCTGGTCGTCTGGCGGGCTCCAGGCCCTTTCCTGTCGGGCCCAGGCCTTACACTTGCTCCATCTGTACGTCCTCCTCGTCCTCCTGGGGCAGCTGCAGGTACGGGTTGTCCCTGGTGGGCTGGAACTTGTAGCCCGTGAGCACAAAGAAGGCGAGCGTGGAGCCCTCCACTAAGAGCTGCGCGACACAGGGCCAGGCGGGAGGTGAGGCACAGCCCGCCTCCCGTCAGGCTCACCCAGGTCCGCCCAGCTCACCTGGTACAGCCATTGCCACTGGAAGGGCACAGCCACGCGCAGCAGGATGGCGATGATGCGTGTGAAGTAGACATAGCAGATGACCTAGGGACAAAGGACCCGGGTGTGGAGGGGGTGGGGACCCCGGGGCGGGCGGGGAGGGAGGGAGGGGCAAGGGCAGGCGGGCAGGTCTCCTACCATGACGTAGTAATGTCGGAACAGCTTCAGCTTGGCCAGGTTCACCAACACTGGGGAGGGCGCACAGAGGGGGCTGGGGTCACGGAGGACGGAGGGGCCGGGGCAGACAGGGCAGACAGTCCCGGGGCGGAAAGTCTGGAAGGGCGATCAGGGGGTGGGAGCCAAAGAGGAGGGAAGGGGAACCAGGGGGCAAAGGGCTGGCTGTGATGTCCCAGGGGAAGAAGAGGCTGGCCAGGGTCCCCCAGGACAAGAATGCAGAGGCCAGGGGGGTGGGCAGCGTCAGGAGGGGCATCCAGGGGGCAGAAGCAGGGGAGGGAGCAGGAGGGGCTGGGCCTCACCCTTCCCATCTGTGCCAGAGGCGTCCTGGAGATGTCGGATGGACCTGGCACAGGCAGAGGACACACGGTGCGGTCAGCACTGACCGCCCCAGTGCCCTGGGAGGAGCCTCGTCCGGGGGCGGGGCCCTCACCAGACAACTGGGAAGAGGATGGCGCCACAGCAGATGAGGTCCACCAGGAACAGGATCTCCTTCCAAAGCCCATAGTCGCTGGCGCCCGCTTCTCGGGACTCAATGATGATGTAGGCCACGTTGGCCAGGACCTGGAGAGCGGGGTGCGGTGGGTGGGGGCCCCTGAGCTGTACCCCTGTCCCGCCTTCCTCCAGGGCCTCTGCACCCGCACCTGCAGGGGAATCACAATCCCGAAAATCTTCTTCTCCTTGTCGGACAGGACGTACTTGACGAAGGCCCAGCCGGAGCCGATCAAGGCGATGGTGATGAAGAGGAGGGCGCCCTTCAGCCTGGGGGCCAGGAGGGCCCAGTGAGGAGGCGGGGCCGGGCCCTCACCCGCCCACCCGCACAGAGGGGGCACTCACAGGTGCGTGACGTAGTGCACCACAGCGAGGCCTTCGATGGGGTGGCCCTGGCTGTTGATGAAGTAGTAGTTGATCTGCAGATGGACGGACGGATGGGTGGACAGTCAGACAGGTGGAGGGAGGGAGGGAGGAGTGGGTGTGTGGGTGGTGGGGTTGGGAGCGCGGGCCATCACGGGGGATGGGCGACCGGAAAGCCGAATGAACCAGTGGTCATCAGCAGGATGAAGGGTGGGCTCAGAATCAGCCACAATCACAAGGTAGGGACAGCCACCCGTGGGCGGGAGAGACGGTGAGGTCACGGCCAGACCAGCAGTCAGGTAGCCTGGAGGGCGGTGGGGAGCGGGGCAGAGGGACTGGCGGACAGGTGAGATGGAGGGCCAGCTACGCGGGGGACACACAGACTCCCAGCCGGTCTGCAGGGAAAGGGTGCCCTGGACGTCCGTCCTGTGTGCCCAGCCCAGGGGCTCACACTGTGGAAGAGGAGTGAGATGCTCTTGGTGAACGCCAGGGCCGCCATGAGCCAGTGGATCTTGAAGACGTTGTACCTGGTGGAGAGGGGGACACGTGGGGTGGGATCAATGTCAGTGGCAGGCAGGGAGGGGAGGCTGTCGTGCGGGGCAGTGCTGGGAGGGCCAGGGCAGGGGCTTTACGTGTTCCTGCAGAGCACGTTCACCCAGAAGATGCCGGAGGCCAGGAAGCAGGCGGACATGATCAGGTAGAGCTTGAAGAGGGGAATTTCCGCTGCAGATAAGTAGCCCTCGGGGTTCTTCTCCCGGATGAATACCTGGGGACAGGTCAGCCACAGACATGTAGCCCAGGCTCTGCACGTGGACAGCTGTGAGTTCACGCCTCCAGCTCTCCCATTTTCTGGCTGGTGACTGGCCTTCTTTAAACCTCAATTTGTCCTACCTTTCCAACTGGTAGACACTGGCCACCCTCAATATCCTTAGGGCATGGCTCCAGGGCGGACACGAAAATTGGGCATTCTCACGTCCTTTATGTAAAATGGCAAAGTATTTGCACAGAAACTATGCATATTTTCCCATAGGCTTTACATCACCTCTAGATTACTTAGAATACCTGAGGCAGGAGGATCATAAATTTGAGCTAACCTGGGCAACTTAGCAAGATCTAGTCTCAAAATTAAAAAAAAAAGAAATGCTGGGGATGTAGCTCAGTGCAAACAAAGGCCCTGGGTTCCACCCACAGTACAAGAACCACAAAAAAAGAATATCTGATGCACTATAAAGGCTAAGAAAACAGTTGTTACGACAAGCCTATACATGGATACAGACAGAATTGCGTGTGTGTGTGTGTGTGTGTGTGTGTGTGAATACTTTGAATCCTGCAGATACGGACAGCTTATGGTCCTGGCTCCTACTTCCCATCGAGGCCACCAGGAGAGTTTTGAGAGGCAAGCCTGGCCTGGCCACAGCAAGTGCCCCCTGAGCCCGTGGCCCCTTGGTTCACCCACTGTGAGGTCGAAGGGGCGTTCCTGGCCAGGCATCAGGTTGTAGCAGTTGTGGAAGTTGAGGTTGTACTGGCCTTCCTCGGCCCTGGAGCCAATCACCACGTGGAACTGGGTGGGGGAGAGGAGTCAGTCTGGGGCCCCCACTTCTGATGGAGGAGGGGGTGCTTCAGGGGCTACAGACACTCACACTGAAGTTGTAGGAGTCATTGAGGTGGCCCAGGTCCAACACCAGGTCCTTGTTCTTCTCAACGGGACCCTGAGGGGGCAGAGCCCTTCCAACAGCTGGCCCCGGGCTTGGGAACCCAAACACCCTTGGGGTATACCTTTCTCCGGCCCACCCCAGCTCCCCAAACCTGAGACCCTGCAGGTTTAGCCTTGGCTTTGCCAGCTGTGGAGTTTCCTGCGAGAGACAGGTGGATGATTTTAAGAGATCGAGGGATGACAGACAAAAGCAGAGACATGCAGGGGACCCCTGCCCATCCCCATGCTGCCCACCGGACTCACCGCTGTCCACCTCAGGAGTGTCAGTGTGCTCTGCCTTGGGGAGCCCAGGTTTGGCAGGGAGGAGCCCGGGAGAGATGAACAGTTTCTCCTGTGCCCCATACTTCCGTACCTGGACCCTGAGGTGAGGTTGAGGGGGGCGGTGTCTGGCTGGGCCAGTGGCCACCAAGTTCCAGATCTGGCCACTTCTGAGCAAGGTAGATGCCATGCATGTATGCTGCCCACACTAGTGATTATTTGTCACTTCCCGTGACCCTTGTCTTCCCCGTGTCTAAGTACTTCACTTAAGGAGAAGACACCATACGTGCAGTGAGGTACCACAGTACTGTGAGACCCTGGCACCAGGCTACTTGAGTCTGAACCCCCATTTTGGGGACTCAGTTTTGGCATCTGAAGAATGGGGATAATAAGAGTATAAAGAAATGCATTCATACGTGTTGAAGTTTTCAGGATACCACAGGGAGCACAAAAACGAAGGATCATCGTTAGTCCACATAACAACCTTCAGAACCGGGTCTTCTGCTCTGAGGGACCCCCTTCCCACATCCTGCAAGTATCCTCCCCACTTTTCCTCCTTCCAGCATGCAGAAGGCTAGACAATGACACTAAAATGTGAGTGGCTTTCTCTCTAGGGGGTTCTTTTCAGCTGGCTTATTCTGCCTGATAGCTCAGCGACAGGTACATGTCACATCCAGGAAAAGATGAACATGGATTTATTATTGTTATTATTTGCAGTGCAGGGGATTGAACCCAGAGCCGTGCACTGAGCTACATCCCAGTCCTTTATTTAATTTTTTAAGACAAGACTATGTCACTAAGTTGCCCAGGCTGGCTTGAACTTGCAATCCTCCTGCCTCAGCCTCCCAGAGTGCTGGGATGACAGGCATGCACCACTGTACCCTGCTAGATGTGTATCTTTAGCCAGCCCCCAGCCCCAACTCACTGCAGATCCTTGGTGTTGATGAGGAACAGAACCACGAGATTGCTACTGTTTCTCTGGAGTAGGCATTCATGGGAATCCTGGGCCTGGGAGTGGGCAGAGGGAACCTGGGTTCCGGCTTCCTGTGGTCCCAGCCCCACCCTGCCTCCCTCCTTCCCTCAGGATCTGTTCCTGCCCCCACTTCTGGGAAAGAGCAGGGGTCTTCAGGCTCCAGAGACAGGAGACAGCCCCACCCAGTACCCCCACAGTACTTCCTCACTCCCCCACTTACTGAGTAGGATCGGATGCTGCCAGATCGAACCCTGCTCAGGCTGAACCCCACCTAGTGGGTAGAAAGAAGAGAAGGGATAAGGGCCTGCAGAAGGGACCATGAAGCTATCCCTCGTAGCAACAGAAATCTGGCCTTACACTTATTGAGCAGCTACTATGTGGCAGATCCCATGCCTTGTTTGAATTTTTCAACAGTCGGTCCCCATGCCCCTTGTCCCTCCTCTTCATTTATCTCCAACCACTCAATGGGACCCAGCATGGATGCCACTTCCACGCAGAGACCTTTGATGGCCCATCCTCCTTTCCCCAACTTAAAATGTTGATGTTTTCCTGCTCTGGGCTCTGGAATTCAACACATCAGAGTTGAACCTGGCCAGGCTCTGCCATTTCCAGGTTGTGGAATTTTCAGAAAGCCATTCCCAGCCTGTGGCCATCGGATCCAGCGAATTTCCACAGGCTCCCTGAGGGGTTGCTTTGGGGGAACAGACCCATGGAGATTGCTAGGCATGGTACCTGGTCCTACTGCAGTCAATAAATGCTAGTTGTTTACTTTGGCTTCGGGAACTGGGGCTGTCTTGTTTAGTGGGAGCCTCTTCACACATATTAAGAACTATTAAGAACAGTGCCTAGCACCTTTCACTGAGACATCTCCCCCCTCTAGGTCACAGAGGAGGTACTGAGGCTCAGAGAGGGTAAGTGACTTGCCCAGGATCACATGGGCGAGGGGCAGGGCTAGGCTGGAAGTCTAGAATGGTGGTGGAGCGGGAGCTGTGAAACTTTTGCATTCAGCCCCAGCCTTCCTCGAAGGCCCTCACCAACGGCGACTTCTCTTCTGTCTCCTGGGGGCTCAGCCGCAAGAGGCTCAACTCCACTTCCAGGGAACCATTGATGTAGAAGCCGAAGCTATTGAGTTGGATGTCTGCTCGCTTCTCCCCCTACCGGAGACAACGCAGAAAGAGGCAGCTCAGGTGTTTCCTTACCAGCCCAGCCCCAAGGCTCTGGCACGAGCTCCCCCCCCCCCCCCGCGAGCCTCTTGGTGGCCCTTTATTTAGGAAAGAGGGTGACAAGAGAGGGTGAGAAGGCCTCCCTGGAGGCCCTGTCCCCCGATCAGTCCCAGGCAGGAACAGGATGGCCCTGGAGTTTCCGACTACGGTTTTGAGTTCAGGAAGTGAAACCCAGGGGCAGTTGGAAGCCACTCACTGGGTAACCACCCCGAGTAGTTACTCTTCTCGATCTGCAGTCCTTCATCGCCTGGGAGAGACTTAGATTACAGTGGGCCCCCAGGGTACTAGGATTTCAGCTGAGCCGCCAAGATCCCAGTGAATGCACAAAGATCTCACTTGAGAGCCCTCCAGCGCCCCTTCTAAATGGCTCTAAGGTCCCGTAGCATTCCCAAACAGATCCCAAGAACTTAAAAGGCCGAAGGGTTATAGGGTCCCGAGAGATGAAGCCCCGCCCCCGATGGACGAACAAGGCTCCAGCGCGGTCGGCCAGGCGCCTCTAAACCGAGCTCACAAGGGGATTCCCGAGACAAACCACTCCGGGTCTGAACGCGGGGGGGGGGGGGCGTCGGACCTCTCTACGCCGCAAAAGGAGCGGGGGGAGGACGGACCCGACCACTCCACGCTAGGGGCTTCTCCCGGACAAAGTTACGCCCTTTGCCCTAGACCACCGGGCGGCGGACCTTACCGTCAGCGCCAGTCGGTGGATACGCCCCGAACAGCTGCCCACCAACAGCAGCAGAAGAAGCCGCTGCCCTAACTCTATGGGGTTCCAGCAGCCGAGCCCCCTCCTCTCGCTCTCTGCCATCGCTGGAGCAGCCACCTCCCCTGACACCGCCTCTGACGCCCCTAAACCCGCCTACCCGTGAGCCAATCGCCGCACGGCAAGCCCCGCTCCGCGTCGTTTCCACCCAGCTCAACCAATCATCGAACAGATCTTCTCAAACACGCCCTTACACAACACTAGATGGACAAATGCAGCTCCGAATGGAAATGCGGAGACTGCTTAGTCCCACCTCCACACCCACCAATCACTAGAAATATTGTCCCGGATGTAATTTGATAAACAGTATAGCTAGCCAATGATCATGAATCTGATATCCGGTCCTTGAAAGAGGAATTTCTTCTCCCAACTCTTTTCTTTTCTTTTCTTTTCTTTTCTTTTTGGTACCAGGGATCGAACTCGGGACCTTGCGCTTGCGAGGCAGGCGCCGGAACCACTGAGCTAAATCCCCGGCCCCCAACTCTTAACGGTCCAGAACTACGTTACCCAGAATTCAGCGGGAGCAGACACGCCCAGCAAGGCATAAATGAACTACATTTCCCAGTATCCTCAAAGAAGGACTTCTTGTTACCCTGGGGACGTGGCTTTCAGCCAGACTCAGGCTTTTTTGGTAGACTCACGCATCTGTCAAGGGTTGTCCCTTTATCCTAATTTTCCCGGTTCACAGAGAAGTCTAACCCTGGATCCAGGTTAAATCTTGCCCCTAGGGTGACTTATGACCCCAAGCTGAGTCACAACATTAGGCTAAAGCCACTGTCCCAAAGTGAGGCATTTGGAGAATCCTCGACCCCAAGCGTAAACCCTTTCTGCAGCTGAGCCCCAACATCAGCCCGAAAACCTGACCTCCTCCTACTAACACTGGACACCTCCCACCCCTCATGCACACTGAGCCCTAATCTCTGGCTCAGACCCCAACTCGATTAGGCCTGGCCGCCGATCCCTAATTGGATTGCTGACCCTTCTGCTAAGCCTCAGACCCTATCCTTAACCATGGTGCTGAACTGGGCTGAACCTCAAATCTAATTTGAGTCTCTGACCGGAGTTGAGCCCAGAATTTCGCTCGGCTGAACTCCAAACTCAGATGGAGTTGCCGAGCCCCATTTTGCAACCAGAGGCTTTCTAACCTAGATGCCGCCAGCAGGTGGGGCAGTTCTAATTGGGCACCCAGCCTTCCTGCAGAGGGGACCTGGTCCCGGGGTGTATACTCCAGCCCCAGCAGGGCACTTTGTGGCCTTTGTAACCGCCAAAGGCAGGGGAGGATGGGGATAGGAGCCACAGACGGCTCTCCTCTTTCATCCCAGAGCCTCAAGGCAAAGGGATTTACGAGGTGCGAACAGATTTTTATAGGTGAGAAAACTGCCTTCCAAGCCCCAGGGCCCCAGTGCCCAGAGGAGGGGCCACCGGAATCCCAGGGCCAGTGCTGATCTTTACACCTGATTGGTCCTGAATACTTGAGACTAGAAAATGTTCAAGCGCAAACATGAACTGAGCGGAAGCCGGGGAAAGACCTGGGACCGGCGCCCCAAGGACAGTTCGCCCTCAGTTTCCCAGCGGAGACTCTGGGGAAGGGAAGGCAGGATGCGGTGGGGGCGCTAATGGACCCGGCCTTGGAGGAGGCACGTCCTGGGCTGGATCGAAGTCTCCCATCCTCTCTGTGGCCGGAGAGACCAGACCATTAGTGGAACGAACGTAGACACCTGGAGCCGGGTCGGCCCGCAAGAGCCAGGTGACCTCAGGTTCTCCCTGCTCGGAGTGGGGGAAGGACTTAGCTTTGGGGTTTTACCGTCTTGGTCCTTTAAGGAATGGTTGTGGGGAGAAAAGGAGAAAGGAAGTACATTCCAGAGAGGAGGTGGATGAGAGGATAAGAACTTGGAGAAATGGGTGGGGGTCGTTTAAGTGGTCTGTCCAGTGGCGTCCGGTAGCGATATTCCTTTAAGAGGGGGCCAGGAGGCTGTTGGATCCCTCCTCCCTGGAGTCCCGCCACCAAGGCTCCAGGCTTGGGGGCGTGGCAAAGCAGAGAGGCGTGGCAGAGAGGCGAGTGGGCGCGGCCAGGCAGATCTGGGCGGGGCCGGGCGTGCCGCCCTAGGCTGAGTCTCCTCGAGGAGGGCGGCGGGCGACCGGGACCGGGCGCGGCGGCGGCCTCCGCGGCGGCCTTGGGGCGGGAGCAGCATGGATTGGGGCACCGAGTTGTGGGTGAGTCCGATCGGCCCGTCTGCAACTTCTCGCCTGCTGGGATCCAAACTTCACCCGCTTTGTCTCCCGCTGTACTTTAGCGAGGGGTCCACGTTTTTCCCTGCGTAGACCCCCTGGGTCCCCGCCCTCTGCCCTCCTCTGCCTTCACTCGGAGTTTCCCCGGGAGTCTCGAGCCAAGACAGACCTTGCAGGACGGGCGCAGGGAAACTGAGGCACAGCCTGGACAGGAAGGCAGCCAAAGTCCTGGGACCAGGCCGGGGCAGCCGGGCGAGGTCACCTATTTTGAGCACCCCGGCGGGACCAGGCTTATCTTACTGCCCCTGGGTCCCTGCCCGCCACCCGCCTGTCCGGCGCGGAGGGGGAGGGGCCCTCTGGCCACCCCCGTCCCCCACGTGAGGCCAACCCGCCCTGACCGCCTTCCAGTCTCCTGGGACTGTACCTAGGGGCGCTCCGGGGTCTGGGGCTGCAGGCTCGGCCGCAGCCCCCCGCCTTTGCCTCCCTGCTGGCCCCAGACACAGGGCGGGGCTGCCCTGGTTGCCTCTCTCACCCGGTAAACCCCAGAACTTTCCCCCAATCCTAGCTGGACCTCTGACCCCTCCCCTGTGGGGGCGGTGGAATCCCTGGTTTCCTGGGTGCCGCAGAGCCCCCAGATCGCCTTCGCCCCTCCAACTTGGGGAGGTGGAGTGGAGTCATTGGGGGAAACTGAGTCACACATCGAAAAGCATGGGAAGTCAGGGAACTTGGTGCCTGCCCCTGGCCACTCCGATTCCCTCCTTTACATCCCCCCCCCCCGCCCCTGCGCCTCTGGCCCTGACTCACGCCCGGCCGGCCGGATTTTCCGGAATCTGGGGGGATTAGGGGAGCTGAGGCAGGAGTGGCCTAGCTCCGTTCCACACCCCTCTTGGCCATCCGCGGACCCAGGCCCTGCCGTGTCCGCCTGGGGCCCATCCCGGGAAGGGGAGGGGGTTCCCGCCAGCTTCCTGCCCCTCGCCCGCGCCCTGCCGGGGCGGCGCTGGGAAACCACGCCTCCTCTGCGCTCCAGGAGGGAGGCTCCCGGGGCCTCTGTCGGTGGGCTAGGGGTTTCGAGGAAGGCTGTGACCCGGGCCCTCCGCACCCCATGCCCCCCATCAGGATCAGTTTGAGGTGCTGGAGCGCCATACGCAATGGGGGCTGGACCTGTTGGACAGATACGTGAAGTTCGTGAAAGAGCGCACGGAGGTCGAACAGGCCTATGCGAAGCAGCTGCGGTGAGACCCCCGGGGTGGAAGCGGCCTGGGGCCAGGGGGCGCAGCTGGAGGGCCGCGGGCTCAGCCTTCTGCCTCTACCTCCCTTCAGGAGCCTGGTGAAAAAATACCTGCCCAAGAGACCGACCAAAGATGACCCCGAATCCAAGTAAGATGGAGGGGGTTGCAAGGGCTAGTCTTGGGTTCCTCTCCTTCTCCCCCTGCTGGCCACCCCACCTCGCGCCTCTCTCCAGCTAAGGCGAACCTGGGTGCAAGATCCAGACGACCTGATTGGAACCCTACATCCACTCCTTTGTACCAAAGTGGTTTTGGGCACGTGACTCAGTTTCGCTTCTCAAGGTTTTTTTTTTGGGGGGGGGGGTTCCAATACGAAGATTAAATCCAGGGCCTGACTGACTGAGCTGCATTCAGCAGCCCTTTTTATTTTTTTCATTTTGAGACAGGGTCTGGCTAAGTC